CCGCACCATGTAAACAGCAGCGGCTGTCTTCTGTTTACATGATTTCAGCAACACAGGCTTTTCATTTGATTTAGAAAGAGGCTGAAACTGTGTTTTTAGGACAGCGTTACAGTATGTATCCGAGTCACAGCACCAATTGTGAGGCACTGGAACAGGTTGCCTAGAGAAGCTGTGGATGCCCCATCCCTGGAAGTGTTCAAGGCCAGGCTGGATGTGGCTTTGAGCAACCTGGTCTAGTGGAAGGTGTCCCTGCCCATGGCAGGGGGGTTGGAACTAGATGGTCTTTAAGGTCCCCTCCAACCCAAACCATTCTGTGATTCTATGTTTTTTCTGCAAGCAGCCCAGCTCACCCCCTGCCAGCAGCAGAGATGTGTAAGGGAAGGTGTTACTAACACAGGCTTAGACTTTCAGGCTAATTTATTTTCAGGACCTGTTCTTTGGTACAGGTATCAGTACACCTGGAAAATACACACAAGTATTTCCTCTGTGAAAAGACCAACTAATTAAAACAGCTGCACATCTTCACAGCACATAAAAAGCCTTGCTAACAGAATCCTCTACCGCATCAGCGCCAATGCTACCAGCAAAAACTCCTGCAACGTCAGTGTTCATCAATATCTTAATTACCTTGTAATTCATTGTTCTAAGCTGTAATTTAATGTATTTGAAGAGACTTCAAGATGTGCTGAACTCATTAAAACATTCAGTGCTTGCCAAACCAAAAGCAGGCTAAACATTCTTCCAGGTCTGAAGTTACTGTGAGCCCGTTTCTTGAAGATGCGCCCCTGTCACAGCTCAAGCAACTCAGTCATTCATTAAAAAGCAGCAGTCACTAAGATCTACATTATATTACAACCACCATGTTGCAAATGACTACTGAAGTTAAATGCTAGCACTAATAAAAACTTAAAAAAATACAAATCTCTTACTACCAATCTTTAAAGATTTGTACAGAGCATGTAAATAGGAAAACACTTTATATATGTTAAAATCTTTTTTTGCAGTTCGTTCAGCGCAACCAGGTAGTATTCAGTTGTGTCTGGTTTTTTATGCTTGTGTCCATTTTCAAAACTTCTCGAATCGCCATGGTAGCGTAAGTGGATGGGGGAAGGGAGAACTCCATCTTTAGTGCCCTGAATTTACCATCTATCATGGAGGGTAAGAGGAGACACAAAGCAAGAAAAAGTTGTTAAGGGCCTAAGTAATGCTCATCCTGGATGACATCTAAACAGCACTAAAGTTTTCCATGACCAACTCCCCAAACCCCTAAAACAAAACAACCACCACCACACTCCAATTCACAATCCACAGTGGAATTTCATAACACAACTACTTTAACATTTTCTTTTTAAAAGCAAAATGAACTTTTGTTCTTTCAGAAATGGATTCCTAGCCTCTCTTCACTTTTTGTGGAAAGTACTGTCAAAACACCTTGAGACCAGAGTTCTGTAAGAAAGATTTCCACTGAATTCTGTTAAGTATTTGAGTCAGCTCAAATTGAGCACAAATAATATATGCCTAAGCATATAGACAATTGATGGCCTAATTCCACCTTCATAAGTACCAGAGACATTTACTGCTGAGCGTTCACTGACTTTACAGGTGTCTGTAAGGCAACGTAACAGTCAGTACAGACTGCTGGCAGACTTGCTCACACTTTTGAGGAATAAGGGTCCTTATTTAGACACCTGACTTTGGATATTCTTCAGTAGCACTGCTGAACAGTCTAGTTAAATAAAAGCTCTTCTTAAAAGAGCTTTCCATATGTAGCACTTCAAAGCCAACAGCCAGATCAAACATCAGCAGAAAAGATCAACTTACCCATAGGAAGAACTGGTAATGGTTTTCCTTCCAGCTTATCTAAATCCGTAGTAAATAACGGGATTCTGGGATCATCATATGCAACAACCTCCCTTTATAATATACGTAAGATTTAAAAATATTAATTATTCATAATACATTTGTATAAAATAATATAAATTGTATGTGTCTTATTAATGTTTTATTCAAATTTGGCAATTACAACTGAAATGGAACTGATTTTCTCATTAAATAAGGGAAGGTGGCCTTTATGGTGCAATAACTGGTAAAGCTTTATGTAGAAGATTCGCCTCTCATTGACGAGAATTGTAACAAAAATACCAAATCAGTGAGAAGTTTCTTTGCGTACATCATCTGTCTTCCCTCGCGGGCTGTCAGGATTTCCAGCTATCCAAGAACTGTAGTTTATGACATTATGTGAGGAATGGTGTCAACTCTAAGAATACTGGGGGGGGGAAGCCTTCACTTTGAAGAAAGCCGTCTAAACGTCTTTGAAAGGCCTTAAACACATATTCTACTCTTTCTACCATTCACGTAACACTCCATATGTAATGACGACGCTGGAAAAGTAACTGGGAAGTGGAGAAGCTTTAAACACCAGCGCTAATTAAAGTGCAAACATTTGTATTTTTTGTCTCCCTCCTAAACTCTCCGTATTTTTCTTTTCCCATGCATCAGTGATCAAGTCTTTCTGCACAGCTGTATAGTCACTTGTTTAAAAGGTATTTATTCAGTTGCCGCATGGCAACCAGGTTGAGTCTCTAACAGTGATTTAGTAGGTTTGAGTGACACAAATCTTTCTGACTGACAGATAGGTAACTGGAGAACAACTTACAGCAAGACTATGAAAAGACCTGCTTTGAATACCATCTATCACGGTTGCAACACAAATAACTATTAAGTGCTCGGGCAAGCCCTTGCAAGGACTGTACAACCATAGGTGTCCTGACACTCATGCATCACAGAACCAGAGGACCAAGGAAGAAAGGCAGCTATGGTTCAACTTCAGCTGCGTAAAAACCACTAGGGAATGCAGAGATCCTGCCCTACCTATGTTTCAGTCCATGTGTACATCCCATGGGTCAATACAACGGTTCTTGTACTTGGTCATCCCACATACATTCTATGCTGTCAGTTCAAGCATTATTTCCTTTATCCTGCTACTTACCAACTGACATTCTGAGGTCGAATGATAATCTTTCTGTATGCACCAGAAAGCGAATAATCTCTGATCTTATGCCTCATGTTGTTGATATCAAGATTGTCAGCTACTAGCATCTCCTTGTAGGCCTCACCAACTGCAAGAGAGGAAAATATTTAGTAGGAGAGAATGTAGTGCGGCTGATTGAAACAGCCCATTTTCATGGATCGTTCCATCCCCTATATTTAGTAGCTTTCAGCATATACAGGATAAATGTTACACCAAAGTTACTCATTGCAAATCTTATTACCTACCATGTTTGCTTCTACAACCTGATTTGTAGAAGCAGTATACAGGAAAGAATCTTAGCAAATCAAACTTCCAGCTGAAAGCAAAATTTACAAAATATTTCACTGACATCTCGCACACGCTTTCCCAGTATCCAGACTTCACAAGACTAACATCAGGTACATGGAGAAAAAAAGAAAAAAGGGCCAGACTACCCATTGCTTTATCTTTGAAAAAGCAGCTGAGTGAAGTAACTTAAGAGAGCCTGTAAAGAAATTAGCTGGTAGGGACCTTTCAAGTACACTGCCAACAGAAGGAGTAATTCCGTTAGTGTCTTACATCCTTAAATAAGGGTGTGTGTATGCACACCTGTGGAAGACAGGGAAGACAATGGAAATACAAGAACATACTGCAGCTAAAATGCTGTCTGGTGCCTTTGATCTGCAGTGCAATTGCCAGCATTACTTCACGCAGTCGGGAATTTTAAGCAGGAATAAGTTAGGCTCACTGTGGCCAAATCCCAGTATAAATATATTGAATGTAAAGAATGGCAGCTTTTCTTTCCAATGTCGTTCAGTGCTGCAACTCATCACAAACAGATCTTTACCTTCCAGGTGTCTGAGATGGGTGATAAATGGGATCCTAGCTCTGGGTCTTATTCTGACAGGCAGAGAGGCTCAAGAGACCCAAGTGGTCTTTTAAGAACCACCAACTACAAGAGCAGTTCAACCAAACAGTGAGGAAAACAAGTGCATGAACTGGGAGAGTGGTTAGGCTAAGCAGGCAACTCATGACTCAGCCCACGTTTAAGGACACACACAGCAGGTGACAGCTAGGGCTGTTGCAAAGAAGGGATATACCAACATTGTCCAGGCACCTAGGGATGGTGCTAGGAAAGCGAAAGCTCAGCTAGAGCTGAAATCACCAAGAGACATCAAAAGCAACATGAGTGAAACTGCAACATCAGGAATGAAAGAACACAACGAGAATGTTGGCCTGCTGCTAAACAGGGCAGGTCGCCGGGAGACAGACATGAGGCTGAAGGTCTCCATGCCTCCTCTGCCTCAGTCGTGACCAGCAAGGTCACCTCTTGCTCCGAGAGGCAAGGTTCAGGAAAGAGAGGGACTACCAGTAGTGGAAGATGATACAGGCTGAGAGTGGGCTCACGTGAGGGCAAAGCTTTTCTCTATCATCTCTGAAAGATCGTGGAGATCGGGGGAGGTCCCAGGTGACTGCAGAAAACCAAGTGGTGCACCCATCTTCAGAAAGGCAAGAAGGATGATCTAGGGCATTACAGACCAGTCAGATTCACTTTCATCCCTGGGAAAAATAATGGAGCTAATCCACTTGGAACATGTTTCTGGGCACAAAACAAGCATAACAGTGAGCATGGTTTTACCAAAGGGGGAAAAAGGAAAAGAAAACCAAAAAACCCCACCAACCTTATTGCCTTCTATGATGAAATAATCTGTGGATGAGGGGAGAGCAATGCCGGTTGCCTGCCTTGCCTTCAGCAAGGCTGTCGACATGATCCCAGAGCATCCTTACATCCGAGGTCAGAACATTACAGTGGGTGGGCTGCCAGATGGGTAAAGAACTGCCTGGCTCATTATCTCAAAGGAGAGTCACTACTGGTTTCAGCTCTACCCAGAAGCTCATTATACGCAGAGTTCCTCATGGACCTGGGATATGCCTGGTTCTTTATCAGCATACATAGAGTGGCTGGAATTCACCCCAAGTTTGTGGACAAAATCAAGCTGGGGTGGCAGTCGATACACCCAAGGGTAGGACTGCCATTCAGAGGGACCTGGGCAGGCTAGAGGAACCTCATGAAATCCACCAAGGACAAAGTCCTGTACCTGAGCGTGAATTAACTCCTTGCAACGGTACAGGCTAGGGAGCAACTCTGCTGAGAGGGGCCTGGGACTCCCAGCAGAAAGGAGGCTTAACAGAGCACCCTGGCAGCAACAAAAGCAACAGGAGCCTAGCCAGTACCTGCATCAAGAAAAACAATTATTGCCCTTCGCCGGAAACACATGAGACTGCACTTGGAGTGGTGTGTCCAGTACAGAGCTGATAAACGTGAATGAGTCCACTGGAAGACCACGAGGTCAATGACCAGGGGTTGTAGCACATGCCACGTGAGGAGAGTGAGAGAACTGGGCGGCTTTAGCTCAGGGGAGGAGAGTTACAGACTACTTGTTCTTCGAAGTTTCAGACCTGACAGGAAAAAGCCCTAAGCAAGCTGGCCTTGCTTTGACCAAAAGATTGGACCAGATGGGCTCCTGAGGTCCCTTCCAATCAAAATGATTCTACAACTCTATCCCTTAATAACAACATTGTGTTCCAGGCAGATCATTATAGATCTCTGAATCTACTCCATTAAAATCAGTTTAGATCAAATGCACATTACATACAGGAGATGAAAGATATGCCTTTTTAAAAAAAAACACATTCATATTAGTTATATTTAAACAAACATATCTGTTTCTTTTTCCTAACTTCAAGCGTGTGCTTGGGTTACAAATTCTAGAAGTGCTGTTTGTTTTCTCATTTAAAAATCAAATGCATACATTTTTCAATTAATATTTCAGCATCTTTTTCCCCTTGTGCTGAGATAAATATTTTTGCCTCAGTAAAAAAAAGTTTCTTTCTTTGGAAAAACTACTAGCTAAAAAGAAATCTGAAACAGATTTATGTTAAGAGAAACAAGTTACAATGCAGATTATCATTTTCACAACGGGAGAGGCTCATAGTAATGTATCAGAGCACTGAAATGGAGAATTTTTTTTAATGGTCACCAAGGTTGAATAGATCTAATCTTCCTTTTAAGAACAATTTTAAAGCAGACTTAGATTTTCAGAGTAAGTACCTAAGTTAACAGTCAGACTTACTTTTATGCTTTGGATAAATAACATCAAATCCAGGCAATGGCATCACTACATCATGGATAGTGTAGTTACCAACTTCTTCTTCTTCGATATGAACAGCTGTGGCTACAGTCAGGACAGAAAAATGAAGGGTTTATCAGTGTGGATGCCTGTGACACTTGACATTCACTAAATTTAAAATGAACCACTTGGTTGAAACAAGCCTACTCTGGTAGGGATAACTACTGTGTTTCATCTCCACTTAACAGACAACATTTCCAAGAAAAGAAGTAACAGTCTCCAAGACTGTCACAGTTACCGGCAGAATCACAGCCTCATTTCCAGTGACTGGTTCAGTCAGGACTGCTAGACGAACAATCCCCGAACCAGGCACCAGGTGTCCACAAAGGAGAAATACTGTGGATATTCTCACCCCAGGGAAATGCCAGAGTAAATCCATGTGGAGAAAGTTTTAACTGAGAGGGGCCTCTGCTTCACAGGATACTAGTGCAGACAAAATCTTTTGAGCTTAAAACACTCATAACATCCTTCCCCAGTTCTCCGTAGCTCATCTAGGTTTAAGTTACTTCTTGAGAACAATCAGTCCTCTCTTCCCTATCCAGCTATTTCAAAAAAACAGCAGATCAACAGCTAATGGAAGTGTAATACCTAACTTGCAATACCTTGCAAAATCTGACTAAAACTGGCCAATGGATTCAGAAATCACTGGACCAAAAATGGGTGAGAGGGGAAATAAAACATATAGGCAGGATCACATAAACAGACACAAGCCTTGTTTTCCTAATAATTTGAACTACACAGAATCACTGGCTTTTTGTCTGTCTGATTTTACCTCCTTTAAGCGTGAGATCGCCTGGTACAGCTCTAAGCCCATACTCTTCTATTCTCTTGCTCACCATATTATTCCACACATAACTCTGGTAGCTATGGATATACATTAATCGATTATTCCTTGGTATCTAGAGGTAAAGAAAAAAAAGAGTAAAACATTAGAAAGATGTGCTTTTAGTTTTTTCTCTCAGCTATAACCAAAAAGACATATATTTGAAATGTTCATCTCCAACAACAGGACTAATACAAGCCTTGGTATAGAGATTTGGGTTTTGTTCATTATTTGGGAAAAGGGTATGTGAAGAAATAATGCTTTTATGCATGTGAAATCTGCACAAGACAACTCTGTACTTAAATTAAAAAAAAAAAGAAAAACCCAAACTTTTTTTTTTATTCAACAGCTCAAACACATGGGGCTATTATAAAACACTGAATTCATACTCAACATCCTGAAATCTTAAGTAAACTTGGCAGATGTGAAAGCACAGTGTTATTCTATCTTCTTCATTAACAAAAAATTATTTCTCAGCTCCTACAATGGGCCCAGTAATTTGCTGGTGATGAGGTATTTTCTCCAAAGACTTGATCTTGATTACAGTACTTGAAAATGACAATGAATCCGCCACCTCTATGCCAAGCTGATTCATCAGCACACTATCAGTTTGATTTATACTTTTACAGCAACAGAAAAGCTCTGATACAGATCTGAGAATTGTGCAGAAGTTCAGTATTATACATGGTTACTAAGTATAACTGTATTACTTCCAACATACCAGACAGATTGTTGTATAAACTGGAAAGCTCATTATGCATACATTAATTACAGATGTCATCAGTTCCCATGCAGCAGTACTTCAAGCAAAAAGGCAGGATAAATGCACAGATTTTACACTTAACCTCCTACTCACGAAGCATGAATGAATCTATTTCAAATTCACCACGATACCATCAAGGGAGCGTGTATTCAAGTAAATACCCCACAGCACTTTTACACTCACTATGCCAAATGCAGAGATTATGTTCTTCATTCCATACTTTAAGAGTCCGCGTAGAAGCTGTCCTTCCACGCACCTTTTTACAGGTAGTTTCTTGAGGGCTGCTGCTGGATCTTTAGTCTTTGCCCATTCTTCTCTGCATTTTACTAAGTATCCCTTCTCAGCTGGAACAAGGATGTAAAATAGAAGCAGTTTAACTACACACCAGAAAGCATCCATCTCACCTTTGGTTAAAACAGATGAAAAATTAAAGTTTCAGTCACGGTAATTACACAGATTAACAGAATAGCTGAGGTTGGAAGGATTCACGTGGAGTCTGAGCAGACCCTGTGTATAAGTATTCAGGTTCCTTTTCATCCCCACTGCAAGAAACTGCACAGCACGGAAAGAGAAGCAGAAAGGCAGAGTCTGAAGATTTCTTGCCCATGGCTAAACTGGCTGAAGTTTAGCACGTGCAAAGCTTACCTCACAAATGTCCTTTTAAATTAAAAGGATCGAAATCTAAATGCGTTTTTCCTGAACAGACAATTCTTTGAGGAGGAGAGGCAGAAACACTTGATCTATCATTTTTCAGTCCTTACCTCCTGGTCGTGGTTTTAATATCAAATCCATTACTTCATTCCAATTGTTCTGTAGAATAGCTCTAAGATTCAAACAGTAAAGTTTATTAAGAAAAAATTACATATATTTTAAGAAGATTTAGCCAATTTATTAAAAAAAAAAGTATTAGTGTTTAGATTTAGGTAATGTTAAAAGTAGTGGTATTATGCAAGATATCCACTGAAACAAGCTGAAAAAACAGTTCCTTCTCAAATCTAAAATTACAACTGGCACATGCAATATGCCAGAAAAACAGTCCCAAAAATATATTAGAAGTTGTACAGGGATAAAAATAATTAAAAAAAGTATGACAATAACACATACCTGCCAATTTGATATGTAGGAACAGCTGTGGTTCCAAATCTTTGCATTCCATAGTAATTAATGAATCCAATTTCTCTGAGAGAGTGCATTGCCTGCTCTATCTGGTCATCAGTTCCCGTTATGTTTCTAGCATTAAAAAAAGTTATAGAAAGATTATTAATGGCTGACACTATTTTGTGATCCCCATAATATTAAAGCTCAACATCAACATTATACAGCACTTATCAAGTTCAGATTCCTGCCGAAAGAAGCCTTTTTCTTCTTTTTTTATAACACAAGATGCACTGATATCCCTTAACTATTGAAAGAAAAAAAAAAAATCTAACATTACTGTGTAAACACATACTAACAAACTACCTGAGAACAACAGTGAAATGGTTCCCTTGCAGTTCTCCTAATTTCAGTGGATGGTTCTTGTAACTGAAATTTCCCAATTTGAAGTTCATCAAACATTTATTCAAATGAGCAAGTCTTTGTGCAGTGATTCTAAAAAGAAACAGACAACAGTGACCAACCTATGCTTAGATAAACAGAGTTAAATAAATATAGAAATGCTGCCTTTTTAAAACAAAAACCAGCGAGACCAGTTTCCCCAGTTTTACACCGTTGCCTTTTCAAAGTGTTTTCATGAAATGTCTAAAAGAAGAGACAATTCTTAAGGCTACTTATACAAGAGAAAATGCATAGAGTGACAGAGACCCTCTGGACTGTCTTTTCACATCTGTATTACAGTATGCACTCAACAATAAATATTGATGTGTGCTGTAGCCCACAAGCTGAACTCTGCTTTATTTGAGTAACTGCACCAGGAACACACTCCAGTTAGCAGAGTTGTAAATGCAGTGATTAAGTCGTTAGCCACTCTGTAAGCTTAGCACAGACGGAAGAGTATGAAATCCAATCTCTCACCGATACCTGCCATTTCTGCTGCTGATACTTTTAGAAGCATACCCCGATCTTAGCATCACCGAGCTGCTCTTTGACACCTCTTAAGATTTATAGCGGGATAGATGAGTTTATCAACTAGCATGGCCAGTGTACTCAGCTGAGGGCTGGCTGATAAACGGGTACCGTCTCCTCCCCAAGGCTGCGCAGGAGACCGGTACTGTGGCCCTCCTGAACAGACACCACAAATCAGCACGCTCCCCTGCAATCCCTGCTTACAACACACCGAAGCTCTTGGACACAAGATTAAATGCCATCACCTTAAAAATGAATGGAACAGCACCCAGGATGGCTACATCCCACGTCTGGTTAACTGTCATCACTTTGCAAACTTGCCTTGCAGCAACGAGAATCTGGGGCTTCTCATCACTCACAAATTACTAATTCTTTTGATATGTGCAAACGTATGCACCTGCAAACCACCGGGAGGAAAAATATGAACAATTAGGTAGTGAATGCCCTGCTCTTAACAGAGATTTGATCAAATTTCTGACTCGCAAACCTTGGAATTCCTCACTTGAGGAGTGTGGTTTTCCAAGAGCTGTAAATAGTAGTCCAGGCAGAATATTCCAGCTAGTGAACCAGATACTGTAAGGTAGGACTTAAAGGCGTCCATCATTCTTAGTTAGGTATGGAAGACTAATTTCAAGTTCCCAGAAACAACATAATTAGCTCGCAATATGACAAAATACATTTTACTTTAATCTTAGTAGGCAACTTATGGGAGTAGGTTAAGGCAGGAAGAATTTTTCATCATTTTCTGCCCCTTCTGGCTACTCACAGATGAGCAAAGGCAGTAGTTAGCCTTCTCGGGAGCTGTTCACAGAGTTCAGTGAGAAAGAAAATGGGATTCCAGATGGAAGAAAGGGGAAACAAGTCAGGAAGGAAACGGGACATAATTTTCATGGTGTCATTTTGTTTTTCTCCTGTTGCACAGGAGCCACACAGCACACAAGCACGTAGGCAATGTGGCCCACTGCTTCAGCCAAGCAGACGTATCCAACCTATGACTCAGAGCTGCTGTATTGGGTTTGCGTGGCAAGGTTTTGGTAGCCGGGGGACTACAGGGGTGGATTCTGTAAGAAGCTGCCAGAAGCTTCCTCTGTGTCCGACAGAGCCAACGCCAGCTGGCTCCAAGATGCCGCGCCGCTTAGCAAGGGTGGAGCCTATCACTGACGGTGGTAGCGTCTCTGGGATAACATACTTGAAAAGGTGAAAAAAAATTGGGAAGATTAATTGCAGCCATAGAGAGAGTGAGATATGAGAGCAACAACCCTGCAGACACCCAGGTCAGTGGAGAGAAGGGGGAGGAGGTGCTCCAGGCCCCGGAGCAGAGATTCCCCGGCAGCCTGTGGTGCAGCCCATGGTGAGGCCGGCTGTGCCCTGCAGCCATGGAGGGCCACAGTGGAGCACAGACCCACCTGCAGCCTGGGGAGGACCCCACACTGGAGCAGGGGCATGCCTGAAGGAGGCTGTGGCCCTGTGGGAAGCCCACACTGCTCAGCTCCTGGCAGGAGCTGTGGCCCCATGGGGGACCCACGCTGAAGCAGTCTGTTCTAGAAGGACTGCAGCCTGGGGAGGACCCCACGCTGGAGCAGGGGCAAAGTGTGAGCAGTACTCCCCAAGGAGGAAGGAACATCAGAGACACCATGTGATGGACTGACCACAGCCCCCATTCCCTGTCCCCCTGCACCGCTCAGGGGAAGAAGGGAGAGAAATCAGGAGCAAAGCTGAGTGCGAGAAGCACCCTACTCAGATTTGAATGGTAATAAATTAAATTAGTTTTCCCCAAGTTGAGTCTGTTTTCTCCATGACAGTGATTGCTGAGTGATCTCCCCCTGTCCTTATCTCGAACTACGAGACGTTGGTTAGATTTTCTCTCCCCTGTCCAGCCAAGGAGGGCAGTGAAAGAGCGGCTTTGGTGGGC